AGGTGTACGATTTTTGTCCAGTCTCTTCCTGCACCCCTCACACCTCTTTCCCCCCCAAGAATAGTCAGTCCATTCCCTTTCTATGTCCCTGATTCTATTATATTCACCAGTTTATTCTGTTCATCAGATTATCTATTCACTTGATTTTTAGATTCACTTGTTGATAGATGTGTATTTGTTGTTCATAATTTGTATCTTTACCTTTTTCTTCTTCTTCCTCTTCTTAAAGGATACCTTTCAGCATTTCATATAATACTGGTTTGGTGGTGATGAACTCCTTTAGCTTTTTCTTTGTCTTTGAAGCTCTTTATCTGGCCTTCAATTCTGAATGATAGCTTTGCTGGGTAAAGTAATCTTGGTTGTAGGTTCTTGGTATTCATCACTTTGAATATTTCTTGCCACTCCCTTCTGGCTTGCATAGTTTCTGTTGAGAAATCAGCTGACAGTCGTATGGGTACTCCCTTGTAGTTAACTGACTGTTCTTCTCTTGCTGCTTTTAAGATTCTCTCTTTGTCTTTTGCTCTTGGCATTTTAATTATGATGTGTCTTGGTGTGGTCCTCTTTGGGTTCCTTTTGTTTGGGGTTCTCTGCGCTTCCTGGACTTGTAAGTCTATTTCTTTCACCAGGTAGGAGAAGTTTTCTGTCATTATTTCTTCAAATAGGTTTTCAATATCTTGCTCTCTCTCTTCTTCTGGCATCCCCATAATTCGGATGTTGGTATGCTTGAAGTTGTCCTAGAGGCTTCTTACACTATCTTCATATTTTTGGATTCTTTTTTCTTTTTGTTTTTCCAGTTGGGTGATTTTTGCTTCTTCATATTTCAAATCTTTGACTTGATTCTTGCGATCCTCTAGTCTTCTGTTGGAACTCTGTATATTATTCTTTGTTTCAGTCAGTGTATGCCTATCTAATTGGCCCTTGTTCATATCCTCAAGGGTCTCACTAGATTTCTTGAGGGTCTCACTAAATTTATTGGCGGTTTCTAAAAAATTCTTGAAAAACCTTATAAGTGTGGTTTTGAACTCTATATCCAGTAGTTTGCTTTCCTCCATTTCTGTCATTTGTAACCTGTTTCTTTGTCTCCGCATTTTTATGCTTCCCTGTGTTGATAGAGTGGCTTTTGGTGCTAGGTGCCCTATAGGGACCAGTGGCTCAGCCTCCCCAATACCTGAGGTGGACACTCTTGGTGCACACCCTTGTGGGCTTTGTGCACAGTCTTGTAGTTAAGTCTTGATTGTTGTAGGTATCACTGGGAGGAATCGTCCTCCAGGCCAATTGTCTGTGAGAATCAGCTGTGTCTGCAGTGGGAGAACTTCTGTGCTGGAGACACCCTTCTGGGGCAAGACTTGCTTCAGTGGGGCTTTGGTGCTCACTGAGTCTGCCCCCTGAGTGTGTCCCTTATGGATCTGAGGAGTTGTAATCTGGATGGTCCCACTCTGACCACTGGGTACACTGGCTCTTGGATCTCTAAGGAGGTGCTAAGTTAGCCTTTGCCTGAGGCTACCCAGCAGGAGCTATGGAGAGATCTGCAGATTCCTCTTCTTTGTTTGGGGTTTGGAGGTGCCCAGAGGAGGCCCAGCTGTGAAGCAATGCAAGCTACTGTGGGGCCTTGGGCCTTCTTTTAGATGTTCGGGGTCTCTCTGACCCAGCTGCAGTTTGTTAGATAATTTTCAGATTGCAAAGGGCCAGGCCTTTCATATGCAAAAGCCTCTGCCAAAGCTTGGGGTGGGGGGTCTCAGGGAATCAACAGGGCAGAGCAAGCAGCTATGGCTGCTCCTCAGTCCTACCCTAAGAGGCCCTGAGTCTCAGTGTCCCGGTAATTGCTGCAAGCACCTCTGAGAGAAAGCCACCCTTGAGTTCTGCCTGATGCCAGACAGTCCAGTTTCTCCCCATATGAGTCTGGGTCCCCAGAGACTCACGCGGAACTGGAGTTCAGAGCAGTCAGGAGCTTGAGACTCCCTCCCGATTGAAAAAGACAACCGCATCCTCAGTTGCCAGCCCTCTCCACGTGCGCCTCCGTACCTCTGCACTTTACTTCCGCACCTCCTCTGAGTCTCAGTGTGCTTTTCTCTTTCCTTCTAGTTGTAGAATTTATACTCAGCCAGCTTTCCTGTGGTTCTGGATGATGTCCGTTTTGTCTTTTAGTTGTATTTTTCAAGTGGTTGTGCGAGGCAGCAATTTCCAGTTTTTACCTATGCCACCATCTTGGTTTCTCTACAGTTTCGGTATCTTAATTTTTTTGGTGCAATAGTAAATGGAATTTTTTTTAAATTTCTCTTTCTGTGAGGTCATTATTGGTGTATAAAAAAGCCAAAGCCTTTTGGGTGATAATTTTGTATCCTGCTACATTGCTGAGTTTATTTATTATGTCAAGAATTTTTTTTGATGGAGTCTTTAGGGTTTTCTTTGTACAATATCATGTCATCTGCAAATAATGACAATTTTACTTCTTCTTTTCCAATTTGCATGCCTTTTATTTCTTCTTCTTGTTTGATTTCCATGGCTAGTACCTCCAGTACTATGTTGAACAGGAATGGTGAGAGTGGGCATCCCTGTGTTGTTCCTGTTCTTAGGGGAAATGGATTTAGTTTTTGCCCATTGAAAATGATGTTGGCTGTATGTTTGTCATATGTGGCTTTTATTATGTTGAGGTATGATCCTTCTATTCCCATCTTGCTGAGAGTTTTTATCAGGAAAGGGTGTTGGATTTTGTCAAATGCTTTTTCTGTATAAATGGATATGATTATATGGTTTTTTAATCTCTCAATTTGTATTACATTTATGGAATTGTGGATAGTGTACCATCCTTGCATCTCTAGAATAAATCCCACTTGGTCATGGTTTTTGATCTTTCTAATGTAAGGCTGTATTGGATTTGCTAGAATTTTGTTTAGAATTTTGGTGTCTAAGATCACGAGAGATATTGGCCTGTAATTCTCTTCTTTTGTATTATCTTTATCTGCTTTTGGGATTAGGCTAATGCTGGCTTCATAGAAAGAGCTTGGAAGTATTCCTTCCTCTTGAATTTTTTTGGAATAGTCTGAGGAAGATAGGTTTTATTTCTTCTTTGAATGTTTGATAAAACTCTCCTGTGAAGCTGTGTGGTCCAGGGCTTTTGTTTGTTGGAAGTTTTTTGATTACTGCTTCAATTCCCTCCATAGTTATCAGCCTATTAAGATTTTTTATTCTTTCTGGTTGAGTTTTGGAAGGTCATATTTTTCTAGAAATATGTCCATTTCTTTTAGGTTGACCAGTTTGTTGGAATTGAGTTGTTCATAGTATTTTTTAATGATTCTTTGTATTTCTGTGGGGCCTGTTGTTATTTCGCCTCTTTCATTTCTGATTTTGTTTATGCTTGAATTTGAAGAGAGTCCCTGTGTGCATGCTCCGATAATCAGGATCCCCAAGTGTGCACCAGGAATCAGAGTCCTGTGTGCGCATGTCGAGAATCAAGAATCAGAGTCTTTGGTGCTCGGTGCGGCCTTGAGCATGAGGAGAAACAGAGTCCCCATGAGAATCAAAGTCACTGGTCTGCTAGGGAGGCAAGATTGTTTTTGTTTCTAAATATTAGATCAAACTGCTATGCCTCCAAGATTTTGTGGGGTGGTCTTATGTACCAGGTGTTTTGTAATGGTGCATTCTCTTAGATCTCCTTACCTGGGTGCTCTAGGAGAGCCCTTCATTTAACTTTTTTGGGTTCTCCTATTGTATTTGGGTCTTAAATGTTATTGTCCCATTCATGAACAGAATCTCCTCTCAGGCTGGCTGACTATGTGGCTCACCCCCAACCACATCATGCGAGCTGTTGCAAAGGAGCTGATGAAACAGAACAAAATAGAACAAAACATGAAATAGAAGGAACAAAACAAAAACATACACAAAACCCCTACAGCACCAACAAAAGGAACCACCAGAGAAGAGAGAATTAAGAAAGAGAGAAGAGAGCAAGAATGATAGTAAAAAAGAAAAAATATATGAGGAGAAAATAAAGCAAAACAAACAAACAAACAATGCACACGTAAAAAGGAACAAGAAAATGGGGGCAGGATATGTAGATGCAGAGATGAAATAAAGAAAATTAGAATAAAGTATTAGAGAAATAGGGGAAGGAAAACAGTTTGAAATAAAAGAGTGAGAAAAGAAATGACAAGACAAGAAAAAAATTTGAAAAGGAAAATAGAGGAGAACATAGGTTGACCTAAAATAAAAAGAAGAAAAAAGATGAGAAAGCAGGAGAAAAATAAAAGCGAAAAAAATTCAGTGAAAAAAATTGAGTAGGAAATGAGAAGAAGGAAATTAAACATATGAATGAAACAACAGAGACTAGAATAATAAGAAATTGATAAAGCAGATAGATAAAGAAGATACATTTTAAAAGAGAAAAAAGAAACAAAAATCTCAAAAAAGAAGAGAAGAAAAAAGGGAGGAGGAAAAGAGAAAAGAAAAAAAAGGAGGAAAAAAGTTCATTTCAGCCAAGTTTAATGCCCTATGGGACCTTGCTTTGGATCCCACTCTTCTGTTCTGTCTGCCAGTTCTGGGCTTCTTGTTGGGTACTTAGTTGTTAACCACTGTGAGGCACTGTCTTTTGGCTTTTGGCAACCTGCTTGAGGCTTCAAGCGATACACTGATCCACCACTTGTGTCTGTCTCCACAGGCCTTGGCTGGAGAAGGAGGAACCAATCTGCTCTCTAAAGCAGGTTTGTTAGCAGCAACGGGCCCAGGGCAGGGTATTGTAGTAATATAGAGAAATGTTTAAAAATGCTTTGAGGATTCCTGAAAAATGTCTAAGAAGGTTTTAAAATGTTTAAATTAACTTTCCTTGAAACTTAAAGCGTGGTATTAAGAACACATTCCCCACTGCCCTGAAGCGTGTGTCCCTCATAGATAAGGATTTGAACTTCAGTAAATAACTCAGAGTGACTTGTCAAAATAACCAGCTGAGTGAGTGATGTACTCTCCCTAGATAACCACATGTAGCCGCTCGCCCTGTTTGAGATAAACATGTGTGCATTGACATAATTCATTGATAGCCACCTGGACTGCTGCAAATGGGGTACAGGTTTTAAAAGTGGGGGTCCTGACCAGCCTGGTGCTCGCCTGTCAAGACAGCCACAAAGGCACGTCCTCTTGTCAGTCCGGCAAGCGACGCGGCTCCACGCTCTTCTCTCTGCCAGACAACAGAAGAACGGTCAGTACCTCCCAATTGAGATGCGACCGAGCTCTTGGGTAAGGAACACTGGCCCCCTGTATCCGGATCAGACCAGCTTACCTGCTGGACCCCCAAGGACAGCACCACTGGGATCCCACTTAAGCCTGTACCCACAGCACCAGGAATTGTGTGAGTAATAAAGTGCCGTGTGATTTGTAACTGCATATGTTTCATGTGGTGTAATTCCTCCAGTAGTTAATTGAATTATTTTGCGTACGCTTAAAAGTTAAATTAAAGCTTCTGGTCTTTTTGATCCTAAGCCTGCCCTTCAGTCCTGCTTGTGTAGAGTAGCCTCTTCGCTAGAAACTACTTAAATGTCCCACACCTGCACGGTTAAAGTTTATCTCAAGGGACACTTTAAATACCCCAGATCCTTTCCCAGGATCTACTTGGGACACAGGGCCAGCAAACTTCCCCTGGTTTCCCAAGTTCGACCTCTGCCTGCCTTTGCCTGCTAGCTAGCTGTCAATCTTAATTACTCAATAGTCTGTTTCTTAAAGAGCATTAGGTGGGGCAGATGCCATTTAGCTTTCAGAGAACATGGTGGGTTTGTTCCCCTGTACCAGAGATACTCCTCCACGAATGGCCCAAAATATTACTCTGCTGGACAGAAATCCTTATATGGAGACAGTGGGGTAAGCTGGAAACCTGCAGTTTTTATCAGTTTCCCATGTGCGGGGGAAAATATCAGTCTGGTTCCCAGGATTTTGGGGTGGATGGCCACTCTCCCAACCTAGTCCCTTAGGGTTCCTTGAGACTATTTAAACCATAAGTTTGGCCTCTGCCTTTGTTTCCTCTGAAAAGCTCAAAATGCAGGGTGTGGCATGCAGGGTACCTGAGGTGGGGGGGGGGGGGGAGGAATGTATTCACGAATGTATTCATGATTCTAATAAGCCCCAATAAAGGTGACCACCAGAGAAAAGAGAATTAGGGCAGAGAAAAGAGAGCAAAAATGATATTGAGAAAAGGAAAAAAGGTAAGAGAGAAAAGAAAAAGAAGAAAAAAGAAGGGGAGAAAAATATATGTATATGGGGAGAAAACTTCAAAAAACCAACAACTAATTCAAAAAATGCAAACAACAAGCACCCAGAAAAGAAGGAGGGAAGCTGAATCTGAAGAGTCTGAGCTTATTTCCAGAAGGTAAGGTAAAGGAATTGAATGAATGGGGAAATGGTCACGATTCAGTATAGAGGAGGTAGAAAGAGAATGAATGTATAAGAAGAAAAGTAAAAAACAAAATACTCAAAAATAGTAGAAAATAATAATTGAAAAAATTATAATTAAAAATATATATAGAGGAAAATTTATATATATATGAATTTTCTTTTATATATAATTATATATAATTATATATATATATATATATATATATATATATATATATATACACACATATATATAAATTTTCCTCCTTTCTTTAACCTTTCTATCTATGCATTCATCTATTTTTGGAAAAGGAGAATATAGAGCAGATAGGCCTGAATTGGTGATTGAAACTAATTAAGCTATTAGTAGAAGAGAAGAAGCAAGGAGAGGAAAAACAAAAACATAAACTAACAAAATTAACAAACAATCAAACAAACAACAACAAGAAAGAAAAAAAATCGGGGTGGCAAAGAAAGACAAAAGAGAAGTGTGCATGGACTTGGAGTAGGGGAGAGTAAATTAGATATATGAGTAGGCCAACAGAGACTACTTTAATAGTAATGTGTCAATAAAACAGATAAAGAAGATCCATTTTTAACAAGGAGTAAAAAGAAAGGATAGAGAAAAACTAAAGCAGGATCAGGAGAAGAGAAACAGGATGGAAAGGGAAAAGAGAGGAAGAAAGTGTGGCATAAAGAAAAAAATGAGATAGAGTAAAATAATGATTAAAAAAATAAAAATAGAATGTAGAACACTAATCCAAAAAAAATAAAAATTAAAAAAAGAAAGGTAAAAAATAATAACAAATAAATAAAAATAATAATAAATAATAAAATAATGTGAAAGAAAAACATTTTTAGTCTCTTAAGTAAAAGATAAAAAATAAAAAAGTGAAGTTCGTTTGCTTCAGTGGAGCTTCAATGTCCCACGGGGGCTGGTTTAAGACCCATCTCTACTGTTCTGCCTGCCACGTCTCAGTTTCCTATCAGGTAGTCAGAAGTGTTGAAGTTCCCAGCGATCCACCGCTTCTCTGTGTCATATGCCACAGCCTTGGTTTCAGGCAGGTGGGATAAATCTGCCCACTTTGTTTTCCTGCCTGCTTTCAGTCATATTTACACAAGCGTCTATTTCTAACACGGCCCCTTGGTAGCGGTTTTTCTGTATTAGTTTCCAGGACCAAATGGCCCCTCAACCCAGTCCCTGAGGGCTCCCTCGGGGTATTTAGAATCTTCCTTTCCCTGCAGTGCTTAAGACTGAGTGCAGCTGTGCTGCTAGGAGGAGCCTGGTCTTCAGGAGAAAAATGTCTGTTCAGGATTGGAGGGACAGACTGTCCCAGAGTTGGCTTCCTGATCATCTCTCCCTCTTCTGCTCCCCAGTTTCCACAAAAGCCACCTTCCCCTGCAGTCTCGGTGAGTGTTTTTAATTGAAAGATCCTATGCACTGAGTTTAGCAAGTAAAAGCAAGGAAAATATAAAGAAAGAGCAACCATGCCACCTCATGTCTTTCTCGCGCCCCCCGCCCCTGCCCCCTGGCACTGCGCCTGGGCAGTGTAGAACTTCAGGCTGCCTTTCTGGGCACAGCCTCCCACGGATGTGGGCTTAGATCTAGAGTCCCCCGCTGCCAGCAGCCCTGTGGACCCCCTTCCACATTCGAGGGCTACACTAACCCCAAGGGACGCGGATTTGGTGCAGGACAGTCTCCCTCTGATTCTCTAGTCCCGGCTGCATGCATTCCTCCCTCCAGCCCAGATCCCCAACCCCACCTTTCTCCAGGTGATCTCTGACATTTCTGTCCACAGATTGCCTTACCAGCTGTGTTTAATTCACCAATTCCAGGTGGATGGATTCAGCTGTTCCTTCTACCTTCTCTGTGAGAAGGTGCAGGGCCCCTCTGCGGTATTCAGCGCCATTTTGTCTCCCGCTGGACAAACTTTTTAGGTGCCCACAGCCGGGGAGGCTGGAGTCTCGGTGTTTGTGGGTTCACAGCCAAGGCAGCTGGTCCCTGGATGTTGTGGCTGTAGGGTCCCAGGTGGTATCCAAGGTCACCCCAGGTGAAGATAAGGCTGGGCTTCCAATCACAGCTGCTCTCCCCTTCAAGATGGTGTGGTCTCTGTGGCCAACACTTGATCTTAACCCCATCACTTCTTTTAGCTATGTCTGCCTCCAGTACAGAGAGGAACTTTCTCCTCCTAAAGTCTTTAGCAACCTAATTGGAAGATACAGTTGTTATTTTTCACGGCTCATTTACTTTTCTTGTTAACCGTTGTTAAGATAATATTTAGTTATTGAAAATCTTATTCTTTTCCTATATCTATGCCACCCTCTTAAAGACCAATGCACAAAATTTCATGTGCAGCCACTCACCTTGGGCTCCGGTAGAGGGAGGGAAGAGCGGATTGGAACCATGTGAGCAGAAGCTAGTGTTGGGTGCTCTGGGGTAAGACCTCAGAAGGCAGACATTCCAGTTTCCTGTACCAAGTCATTCCCTCATGCTGCAGAAGACATCTTTCTCCAGTGGACCTTTGCGATCCAGGCAATTTTTACCTGGGAGGGAAGGCAGTTTCCCCACCCTACTGGAAAACCCCTTGCCCCACTCTGAGGCCCAATAAGAGGCTAAAAATAACAATCAGCCTACAGGCAGAATCAATTACCCCACCCTATTGGAAAACATCTCACCCAACCTGTGGTCCATAGCCTGAGACTAATTAAGACTGAATACAAACAGACTGCAGGCAGAGGCAGGTCTCTGGAGGATTTGAGTCTTTGCCGGGTCTAATTTGTGACCTGGAACTAGGAAAAACAGACTTTGGTGCACATCTTGGTCCTTTCCAAAGGTAATCAGCCCCAGCAGAGAGAGACCCAAGCTCTAGATTGCTGATAGCTACAAACATGGTACGCAGGGCCAGTCAGAAACAGCATCTAACACTGTTCTACACTAGAGATTGGGAGGTATAGCAGACCTACCTAATACATAGTCACAAACCCAAATAGGCAGCCAAAATGGGGAAACAAAAAAACAACCCCCAAATGAAAGAACAAAAGAATTATTCAGAAGAAGAGCTAAATGAAATGGACATAAGAAACTTATCAGACACAGAGTTCAGAATAATGATGGTAAGGATGCTCAACAAATGAGAAAATATATACTAATTATGAAGAATGACATAACACTAATAAAGAACACAGTGGAATGAATACACAGAAGACTAAGGGAAGCCGGATATTAGATAAGTGAATTAGAAGACAGGGTAGAAAGAAATCACTCAATCAGAGAACCAAAAAGAAAAAAACAAATAAAAAGGAGTACAGATTAAAGGAGCTGTGAGACAACATGAAAAGTAAGAATATTCTCATAATAGGAGTCCCAGAAGGTGAAGAAAGTGAGCAAGGGATAGAGAATGTGTTTGATGAAATAATGGCAGAAAACTTCCCTAACATAGTGAAGGAAAAAGTCACACAGGTTCAGGAGGAATAGAGGGTTCCAAGCAAGTAGAACCCAAACAGGCCCATGCCCAGACACATCATAATTAAAATGCCAAACATTAAAGCCAAAGAGAGAATCTTAAAAGCAGCAAGAGAAAAGCAAGTTGTTACCTAAAAAGGAGCTCCCATTAGGCTGTCAGCTGATTTCTCATCAGAAACTCTACAGGCCAGAAGGGAATTGCATGAAGTATTCAAGGTAATGAAAAGCAAGGATCTGAAACCAAGATTACTCTATCCAGCAAGGCTATCATTCAAAATAGATGGTGAAATAAAGAGCTGCCCAGACAAAAAAAAAAAAAAAGACTAAAGGAGTTTGTCACCGCTAATCCTAATCGAGCACTGCGAGAAATGCTAAAGCGGCTCCTGTAATGAGAAGAAACAGAAAGAGAGAGAAACACATGGGACTACATCAAAATAAAAAGCTTCTGAACAGCAAAAGAAACCATCAACAAAACAATAAGAAAGCCCACTGCCTGAAAGAACATATTTGGCAATGATACATCTGGTAAGGGGTTAATTTCCACAGCATACAGGGAACTCATACAACTTAACAAAAGGAAGACAAATAATCCAATTTAAAAAATGGGCAAAGGACCTAAATAGATACTTCTCCAAAGTGAACATACAGAAGGCCAAGAGACATATGAAAAAATGCTTTGTGTAACTAATCATCTGAGAGATGCAAATTAAAACAATAATGAAATATCACCTCACACCTATCATAATGACTATCATCGACAAATCAACAAACAACACGTGTTGGTGAGCATGTAGAGAAGAGGGAATCCTAGTACATTGCTGGTGTGAATGCAGACTGGTGCAGCCATTACAGAAAACAGTATGGAGTTTCCTCAAAAAATTAAATATGGAACTGCCATTTAATCCAGTGATCCCACTTCTAGGAATATATCCTAAGAAACCAGAAACACAAATCAGAAAGAATATATGAACCCCTATGTTCATAGCAGCCAAATTTACAATAGCTAAAATCTGATAGCAGGCCAAGTCCATGGGTGGATAAAAAAGCTGTTGTACGTTTATACCATGGAATACTATGCAGCAATAAAAAAGAAGGATCTCATACCCTTTGAGTCAGCATAGATCGACCTGGAATGTATAATGCTAAGCAAAATAAGCCAGCCAGAGAAAAACCAATATCACATGATCTCACTCATATGTGGAATCTAATAAACAAAATAAATTGCTGAACAAAATAGATCCAAAGACATAGAAGTATGGAACAGACTGTTGAACCTCAGAGGGAAGGCAGGGTAGGGTGGGTGGGTGGGAAGTGATCAACCAAAGAACTTATGTGCATATATGCATAACCCATGGACACAGAGAATAGGGTGGTAAAACCCTGGGGTGAGGGTGGGGGTAGGCTATAAGGGATCAATGGCAGAAAAAAGGGGACATTTGTAATACTTTGAACAATAAAGATTTTTTTAAAAAAATAAAAAATGTAATGAGATATAATTCATATACCATAAAAGTCATACTTTTATTTTATATATTTTTTTTAAAAAAACCTTTATTGTTGAGAGTATTATAGATGTCCCCGTTTTTCCCCCCTATTGCCCCTCTCTGCACCTGGTTCCTGCCCTGCCCCAAGCATTCATCACCCTATTGTTTGTGTCCATAGTTAATGCATATATGCATATACCTTCTTTGGTTAATCTCTTCCTGTTCCTTCTTCCTCCTTCCCTCTAAGATCCTTCAGTCTGTTCTATGTTTCCATGCCTCTGCTTCTATTTTATTCATTAGCTCATTTTGTTCATTAAATTCCTTGTTCATTTATATTGATTTTTAGATTCAATTGTTGATAGATTGTATTTATTGCCATTTTATTTTTTATATTTTTGTTTTCTTTTTCTTCTCCTCCTCCTCCTCTTCCTCCTCCTCCTTTGAATATGCTTTAACATTTGATATAATACTGGTTTTGTGATGATGAACTCCTTTAACTTTTTCTTGTCTGTGAAGCTCTTTATCTGACCTTCAATTCTAAATGATAGCTTTGCTGGGTAGAGTAATCTTGGTTGTAGGTCCTTGCTATTCATCACTTTGAATATTTCTTGCCACTCTCTTCCGGCCTGCAAAGTTTTTGTTGAGAAATCAGCTGACAGTCATAGGGGTACTCCCTTGTAGGTAACTAACTGCTTTTCTCTTGCTGCTTTTAAGATTCTCTTTGGCATTTTAATTATGATGTGTGGGCCACTTTGGGTTCCTCATGTTTGGGACTCTGTGTGCTTCCTGGACTTGTAAGTTTATTTCTTTCACCAGGTAGGGGAAGTTTTCTGTCATTATTTCTTCAAATAGGTTTTCAATTTCTTGCGCCCTCTCTTCTCCTTCTGACACCCTTATGATGCAAATGTTAGTATGCTTGAAGTTTTCCCAGAAGCTCCTTACACTATCTTCATATTTTTGTGTTCTTTTTTCTTTTTGTTGTTCTGATTGGATGTTTTTTATTTCCTCACATTCCAGTTGCTGTTTTGATTTTCAGTATCCTCTACTCTACTGTTGAAACCCTGTAAATTATTCTTTATTTCAGTTAGTATACGTTTAATTTCTGACTAGTTCTTTTTCATATCTTTGATGTTCTCACTAAGATTCTTGAAATTCTCACTAAATCCCTTGAAGCTCTCATTATAATCCTTGAGCATCCTTATAAACATTGTTTTGAACTCTGTATCTAGTAGTTTATTTACTTCCATTTCATTTAGTTCTCTTTTTTTGGTGATTTCTTTTGTTCTTTCATTTGTGACATGTTTCATTGTCTGCATTTTGACTGCTTTCCTGTGTTTGTTTCTGTCTACTAGTTAGATTTGCAATGTCTCTGGGATTGGTAGAGTGGCCTTGTGTAGTAGGTGTCCTGTAGGGCCCAATGATTCAGACTCCCCAGTCACCATAGCTAGGCCCTCTAGGTGTGACCCATGTGGGCTGTGTGCGCAGTCTTGTTGTAGTTGAGCCTTGATTGCTGTTAGTGTCACTGACAGGAATTGACCTCCAGGAAAATTTTCTGTGATGACCACCTATGACTACTGCAGAAGAGCTGCTGTGCAGGAGACACCTTTATGGAGTAGGACTTGCTTCAGTGGGGCTTTGGTGCTCACTGAGTCTGCCCCTTGAGTGTACTGCTCATGGATGTGTAGAGCTGTAATCTGGTATGGTCTGAAGCTGACCACTGGGAGCACTGGCTCTGGGGCCTCCTGGGAGGTGCAAAGTAAGCCCCTGTTTGTGCCCTGCCTGGGGCCACCTGGCAGGAGCTACAGAGTGATCTGCAGGTGGCTGCTACTTGTATTTGTCTTGGAAGTGCCTGGGAGAGACCATGCTGTGAAACAAGGCAGACTGCTGCTAGTGTTTGGCCTGGGGCCTCTTATTGAGAAGTATGGGGTATGCTGACACCAGCTTCTGCTTGTTTGAGTGATTTTAGGAAAGTGTGAAGCCTGAGTCAGGACAGGCCATTAGTATGGAAAAGCCACTGCAAACAACTTGGGTGGGACTGCACATTGGGTGTGGCAAGGTCCCAGGAAATCACGAGAACAGAGAGAATTGTGTGAGCCAGGTTGATGGAGACTCAGATATGGTGCCTGCCAGTCAGCTCTGCAACAGAGGAGGTCTCAGCATACAAACAATGACCTCTGCCAGCACTCCTGTTTGGGAGAAAGCTGCTCCTGAGTACTTATTCCCATGCCAGACAATCTAGTTCCTGTCCATATGTCCCTGGATCCCTCCCAACCCCCATGCCACTGCCCCAGCCCTGCAGCTCAGAGGAGTAAGTCCAAGTGAGGCTGTGCA